ATACGCTTGGCCTTGTCTTTGTCCCTGGCCTCCTTGAAGACCGCTCCAACTGCTTCCTCGCCAGAGGCGTGGTTAGTGGCGACGTCGAGTAGGTCGCGGGTGGTATGGGGCTTCAGGCATCCAAGCTTGTGGATTAGGTACTCAGGTCGTCCCGGAGAGGAATGCGCTGATGATGTCCGCATCGACGACATCAGGGAGGGCGTTGCATCATTGGGAGAACCTGACGGATGTAGTCTCGTAGGGACTCGTTGGGCTCCAGCTGGCAACTCTTGAGGTCCCAGGAGTTCCTAGGGCGGACATATGTCCCCTAGAAATTTTCGACGAAGACCCTCTTGAGGTCCGCCTAGTCGCGGATGCTGTCGTGTGGGAGGAATTCAAACCATGCCCGAACATGTTCCCCCACACAGATGGGGAGATACTAAATGATGAAAAAGTCATCATCCACCACTCCGGCTCGGCAGGCGAGCCAAAAATCTTCAAGCCAAATGCTGGGGTTTGTCTCCCCGGTGTACTTGGTGATGTTTATGGGCGGTCGGAAGCGCGGTGGGAACGACGCTCTTCCGGATACGCTGGTCAAAGGCCCGTGGCCCCAGACCCTCAGGGTTGGGACTCCGGTCGTCCAGTTGGCGACCGTACCTAGGGCGCGTTTCACCGCTCCCCTCGATGGTTCGGCCAGGATCCATGTCGCCTGCTCTTGCCACCGCTTGATGGACATCATCATCGTGTTGGGCCCGATGTCGTTGCTGACGATGCTATGAGCGTCGGGGTGCGGATTGGGCCGCTTGCATACCGGCGGTCGCTATGGAGTAGGCGCCAAGTCGAACCGTGGTGCGGCTACCGCCCCGCGGGCCGCACCTGGCGGCTGTAGTGGCGAGCGGATAGAGCGATCCATCTAGCGTATCCCCATTCCCCCGATGGGGAGAGAGGGCGTTTGCCGGAGTCACGATGTAGAGCTTTCCTCCTGCTGAATGGCGGCGGCTTCTACCAGAACCCGGAGGTTCCGGTAGACCTCCCGCTCCCGGGGGTCGACGGGCTCGGGAACACCGCGCAGAAGCATCGCCACGGCAGCAATGTTCTGGCTGGCCCAAGCGAACTATGGGGGATCGTTCCCCTCATTCACGATGTCATGTTGGACCTGGCAGGCGTGACCCTGGGCGCCACCCGCCGGGTCATGCGCATGGGGCGCAACGTGCTGTACCAAATGCGCCAGTGCAGGCGGTGGCTGGTTCTGCCGCCGTTGTCGTAGTTCCTCGGCGTGCACTCATGCAGACGCGAGGGCCCCCGCATGTGGGTCCAGAGGGGTGTGAGTCTGCGCATATTCCATAACCATCGGTGGTTGTCCTGGAGCATCTGCCATAGCGCACTCCTAGGGACGAACGGTGGTGAGGTGCCACATCACCGATGCTGGAGCCATCGCTCTCACCCTCGTCATCTGGGAGTTCATGGAGAGCGGCGGGAGCGTAGCTCACCATTCCCATGAATTTAGATGTGAGGGGGGATGGCGCTAGCATCCTTCGGAGCCCCTAGGTGTATGCATCCGTGGAGGACGCGAGGCCATAGGGGAACCGATCGTACGGTGTTTGTGGCGCGGGCGGTACGGTCCCTCCGGATGATCGGCGGGAGATAGTAGATAAAGAGTAAATAACAGTACGCATATTACTTACAGCGGGGTTTAAGCAGAGAGTTTGCTCGAAATGAAGCGCAGATGCCGCGTCATCGAAGTCGTGCGTCCCAGAGTCGATGGAGGGCGCCCCTTCGACGGGTGCCGAGACGTGAGCCTCCTCGCGGAGGTGTAGTACTCTGAGCCGGTCGGCGACGAAGTCCATGCTTTCGAAGAGGAAGGCCTGAAATGGCTCGGAGACAGGTGGAGCCCACATCCCAACAGGTGAGAGTGCGGGAAACTCCAGCGAGCCGAAGCGAATCGTATCACCCGAGCCTGCCACGGCGAGGGTGGCGGAAAAGTGGGCCATCCGATGACCAAAAAGTGTTGAACGTACAGCGTCTTCCCCACGGACGGCACCAACTGTCGGTACAAAATGTGACCAACTAGTGAATATTTGTAGTTTTGCCGTACATTTTGATCGGAGGTGGCCTAGCACTCAATGACATAGGGTTTATACTAGTTCAGGCAATGTGCCCTATGTCTAGTTTGAGTCAGTCAGTGACTTTATTCCTGAGCCCAGGTGCTCGAAGTTTGCAGTGGGGTTACAAACGAGAAGGAGAAAGATGGGGTGTACAAGAGTTCCGGTCGGCTCTGGTCAGAAGGGCCGAGAGCGACAGGAGCTACGCTATGAGCTAAGTGTTCAAGCGTGTGTTTGAGGTCCGAACCCGGCGGTTCTATGGTTGTGAGCTAGTAAACTTGATCGATGTTGATTAACTAAAAGGACTCTATTTTTTGGGAGAGAGCGCATCCCCTTTTATAGATGAAGGGGATGGCCTTACAAGTGAGAGGGAGAGAGTACGAATGCTTCTAGCCTTGTTGCCCACGTTGACGGGCATAAGATGATGGTAGGTGCCCACAACACTATTGGATGTCAGATGCACATGGGAGGTTTCGTTGTCCTTGTCTGGGTATGGCAGATGTCGGTACCTGCGTACACTGTTGATGCCCAGAGGCATGTGAGGATTTTCACCACTTGCGCTCGGTATGGTAAATCCCGGCGCCCACAACACTATTGAAGCCCAGAGGCATGCGGGGGAGCCTTACCGTATGGGAGTTTAATGGCGCCCATAATACTGTAGGGGAAATGTAGGCGCCTACAACACTGTTTGTATCAAGATGGTTGCAGAGTATAGTTTCGTGCAGGGTATGGTCCCTGGTACCGTGGTTTGACCTGTGCGCCTCGCCTCGCTTTTCTCTGCATGTCTCCTGGTCCCTACCGAGCGGGCGTCCCCGGTCGATTGATCCCAGTCGGCTTTGAGCGCGCCAGTCGGAGAAGAGCGGTGAGCAGGGGCTAGGCGTATCCCCGGTCGGAGAGTGCGGGGTCGGAGATGGAAAGCGATGCTTTTGGTCAGGCCTTCCGGTCGAAGAGGCCGTCCGAAGGTGGGCTGGCGACCGGATCGAGCTCTCCGGTCGGAGAGGTGGGCTAGAGCCGGAGAACGGGTGTTGTTCCTTCTTGGCCTGACCTTCCGGTCGGAGATTGGATCACTCCTCCGCCCGGCGCTCAGGTACCTTAGCCGACCCATGAGTTGCGTGTTGTCTGCTTGGGCCGAGCCTTGGCGTGGAAGCTGGTCCCCGAGGGACCCCGGGTTTATGAACCCGACACATATGTTTCATCGGGAAGTTGTAAAAGTAGATTTGGTGTTGCATATGTTGTAATGGTTATACACGTATATTGCAAGTGTATGTTTTAAATGTTTTAACTGTTTCAAATGTATGTTGCAAGTGTTTTATCTGGATGTTGCATATGTTGCATTGGCTATAGACGTATGTTGCAAGTGTATGTCTCAAATATTTTAGATGTTTCAAACGTATGTTGCAAGTATTTTTGTCTAGATGTTTCATATGTTGCACTGGTTGTACACGTATGTTACAAGTGTATGTTTCAATGTATGTTGGACGTGTTTTACCTGGATGTTGCATATGTTGTAGTGGCCATACACATATATTACAAGCATATGTTATAAATGTTTCATCTGTTTCGGACGTATGTTACCATAAATGATTTATGTTGTTGCATGACCAAGTGGTCCCGTGAGGCGCAGCGGTTCCCGCATGTGCATGGGAAGCGAAGCGGGCATAGGAGCCCCCACGTGCGTGCGCTGGCGCATGTGTACCGCAGCAGCAGTGTGCAGCGACAACAGCAGCGGCGCGTAGCCAGACGCAACAGCAGCGTGTGGGCGGGCGGGCAGGCCGTGTCTAGACGTACCGGCGTTAGTCTTTCCCTTTCTTATTTGGTGAAAATAGCAAACCAGACCTATATAATAACGGGCACAAAGTCCATATTTCCATGACACGTAGGTTTAAAACACGTCAACAAATGATTAATAACGATCGTCGTCAAAGCGCCGCATCTAGCTTCTTGGATGCTGGAGACACCCTGTAATCCTCCATCGCCGACGGCATCCTCGACGGATGATGCCTGTAGGTGTACCTCCACGCGCACAATAGGTAGAGAAGCAAGGCGACGAGTCCGAAGAGCGCAAGGAGCCAGTAGAACAAATCGAGGCGGCCGGCACTGAGGCTGGCGCCGTCCAGCCACCCGGTGCCCCTGCCGTGGCGCGCGGTGACGCGGTTGACCACCCGGATGAGGAAGCTCCCGAGCCACGATGCGATGCCGAGGATGCAGAAGAAGACGGCGCCCCCGATGGACTTCATGCCGGCGGAGGCCTCGCTGTAGAAGAACTCGAGCAGGCCGACGAAGGAGGTGACGTCCATGACGCCCAGCAGGAAGAACTGCGGCGTCAGCCAGAACACCGACATCTCGGCGGCCGCGGCGCCGCCATGGCGCCTGCGGCGCGCCTCCACGGCCGCGGCCACGGCGAGCGCCACGACGTTGGACGCGAACCCGACGCCGATCCGCTGCAGGTGCGTGATGCCGCCCGCGTACCCCGTGGCGCGGCGCAGCCACGGCACGACGGCGCGGTCGTAGACCACCAGGATCAGCATCTGGAACACGATCGGGATGACGAACAGGCTCGCCGGCGGCACGTGGGTGCTGCCCAGCCGGGTGTCCATGGTCCAGCCCTGCTGCACCGTGAACGTCAGGAGCAGCGGGATCGGGAGGTAGCCCAGCACGGAGCTCACGAAGACAGGCAGCATCCGGAGGATGATCTTCGCCTCCTCCACTTGTGTCACCGTGCACTGCGACCACGGCCGCGCATCGCCGTCGTCCACCGCCGCTTTGTGGAGGAACCTTTTTTTTTTTTTGAAGAATCAATTACGAGAGGCAGAGGGGTTAGTCAAAGCCTGCACCAACGGTCCCTGTCAAACAGAGGAGCAATACTCTTCTACGTGGGGTTCTGTCAGATATGGTATGGATGGAGATAAGCCCACTTACTTGAAACCTGAAGTTCTCTCCAGCGCTTCGATGCTGGTGGTCTCGTGCATCCCAACCAAATCCTCAGGCACTGAAAGATTCCTCTTCCTAAAAGCTGCCACGAAAACCTGTGGTTCACACAAAAATTGGTCACCAAATTTCAAAATATATTTTCATAGAAAAAATAGCACAATATTTTCCATAGAAAATAGTGCTAACACTTTCAGTACAGTTGAAAATCTTGGCAACTTTCCAAACGGAGATAATCAACGTCTATATGATACACACAGGCTAAAGATCAACCCGTTGATTTGCTGGTTGTTATCGACCGTTTTTTGGGCCGTGCGATGCGGAAGCGTCGGCCTCCCCCCAGTTGCGATTATGCTGGCGTGCGTGCGTGCGTGCGATGCGTCCCTGTGCGTGCGCCCGCTCAGCTACAGCTGTCAAGCAAGCAATCATGCCGGTGTCTATGTCCCTGCCTGACACGAACGCGAGCACGGAACACCCTGCGACAATCTCTCCTCTCTCACCTCCTTGTGTTGATTTTGTTTTTTTTTTTATTTCTGAAGAATTTGTGAATAATTTGATATATATTTCTCTGATGTCTGGAATTCATAAAAATAATTTATAAATCTTTTTGAAAATTTTGGCATATATTTATGTTATTCTCAAATTACATCACTCTTTACAATAAATTACACTAAAGAAATTATTATAAATATAATAATAAGATAGAATAAATATAGGTATAAGACAGTGTAAGTGTAAGAGAAAATTTTGGTTGATGGGAGGAGTAAAACAACTAGACATTTCCATATGATAATACTGTACGTACCTGAAGGATTCTTGTGAGGGGGCTCCCAGTGGGCTTCTGGTGGCGGTAGAATGGCAGGCCGGCGACGAGGACGAGAGTGCCGAGGAGCGCGACGAGCGCGGACAGCACGAAGCCGAGGTCCCAGCCCTCGTTGTTCTGCACCCACACCACGAAGACCAGCCCCACGAATCCGCCCAGCGAGATGCAGAAGGCGTACCAGTTGAAGAAGCTGGCCTTGCCACGGAGCTCCCGCGGGTCGTCGCCGTCGAACTGGTCGCCGCCCAGCGCCGCCGCGCACACCCTTACGGCGCCCTCGCCGATCGGGATCACGTACAGGCCCAGCGTCAGCAGGCTCAGGTTCCGGCCGCTCACCGTCGTGCACTCGCTCGGGTGGTTGACGATGTCGCACGGTGACGGGTGCAGCGACGGGAAGTGAGCTTGGCATGCTAGCAGCATGTAACCCTGTAGTCCATGGCAAGAGTTCACGTATATTTTTATGCTACTGACTGAGGTACGTACATACTCACCACAATCTCGATGGGGGCGAATATGAGGATGGTGTAGAAACGCTTGACGTAGGAGTCGGAGATGAAAGCACCGAAGAAGGTGAAGACGCAGATTGCACCGAAGAAGTTAGTGGCAGTGGTGGAGGCGTCGGCGATGCCCATATGCATCTTGCCATGCAGGTAGCTCACCACGTTCAACAGCATCGGGATGTTTCCAATGTTCGTCATCACAACCAGGACTGCAAATTAAACACAGTGGAAGAATCACCAGTTCACCACTATACCTTTGCATTGATTTATTCATACCCATCTTCAAATTGTTGTAAAATGATGATCACACACACAGTTCAAGATTCGTTTCAGCAACGAGAGCAATTTTTCTCGGTCACCTTTAGAAAATATAACTTAACTTGATTCTTACCATTGATTTTTTTACTATATATACCTGGCGATATTCGTTGTAAAACCAAAAGGAGATGGTTCATTTCTTACTTACAATAGATGAACATGGTGGCTTTTACGCCACCTTGCCTTTGGGGGTTAACCGGCCGTCCCTTCCAGTCTACAAGGCATTGCAAAGCCATGGCTCCTGCAGCTATTGCTCAGAACACCTATCGCAAGCCAACAAATTCACTTCACTTGACCAACGACGTCTCTTGGGTTTTCTGTGTCACTCTCCTTATGGTCTCTGCCAGCAACTAATGCTTTTTATAGCCATGGAATGTGAGCAACCCATTCAATTTTTTTGTGGACATAAGGGCAGCTAATAGGTAAACAAAACTAGTGCAGGTTGTCTCCATGACCATGACTTGTTCGATTACTAAATAATGTTTGTAAGATTGTAATCTCAAAAGGTGATTGTGAGGACACTTTCACCGAATCACAGCCTCACAGGATTGATTTGATACCTTGGAGCACTACTTTGTCATATCTAGATAGTAAGATGTGAACTAAGATGCGTTTACCTCATTATGTTTTTTTAACCTACCTGCAGGTTGGGCCTAATTAGCTTCCTTGGCCCGCACTATAGCTCGCCAACCCTCCTGCCTCCTAATAATGGTCATGCATTAGGGTTCTCATTAAGTTAATGCCATGCATGGTGTATGACTTTTTCTCATCTTTTATTTGTCTTGTAAAGTTGTGAACTATGAAGGACCTTGTATGGGTGTATAAACAGAAGAAACCTACAGGTGAAGAGGGGCATTACATTAGAGAAAAGATTATGGGTACCACACATGAAAGTATAATATTTCTCCTATCCAGTGCCGGTCCTATGATCTTGAGGACCCTCTGCCGAACTCGTCACCATGGCTCCTCTAAAATCTTATAATCTATAGGTGCTAATTTTACTTGCAAAGTGAAAATAATACAATAATATATTTTTAATCTAACACCTAAATTAGAAGGAAACCATAACTATATGAGTACAAAATACTAGAAGTCTAGAATACTATACAAATAATTAATTTGAATTAAAAAATGAACAAGAAAAAAATATCTAGGACGTGGACATGAATTGAAACAACTGATCGGCGAATGCAATTCGCAAGGAGGCAAGAACCAAGATGTCGTTGTCGTGGAGCCTTGCCCGGTCGCCGCTGTCATGTGCCGTTCTCTGGCGGTCCAGCTCACCACGTGTCGGCGCGTCGCGAACTCATGAGTCGTGATCAGAGTGTATGGCGTGGTTCCTCGTGGTTCCTCGCCTACTCTCTGCCTTGGAAAGAAAGACCAACATTGTCTTCTTGGACGGCCTGGCCAATTCTCTGCCTATCTTCTATCTTCCCATTAGTTTGCTGATGATGCGACTATTAGGCTTGGGGTTTGTATACCTAGACTTGGGCCCCTCCCCGACATGGGCCCTCGCCCGTCGCACCTCGTGCCCTCCTCCTAGGGCCGGCACTGCTCCTATCACCAAGAGAACAAGCAAGGTAAGAAGGAAGAGAAACATTTTCAAGATGCAAGGAGCAAACATGGCCAAATGTGGGTTTGTGCTATATTTAGCACACGAACGGTTTATTTATGCCACGCACATATAAAAAATGTCTATTTTGGTAAAATCAATTTGTGCTAACACGCACTACTACAAAAATGATTTTTACGAGACACATCACTTTTATTTTCTGAGGCGGACATAATGGTTGTGTCTCGTAAAACAACCGACTATTAACGGAGGCGGTCATTTTATTTACCAAGGCACCCAAAAGATGACTGCCTCGCAAAATCGATTTCCGGAGACAGTCGTTTTATTTACGGAGGCGGTTAGGAAACTCTCGCCTCCGAAAATGGAATTACGAAGGCGGTCAAAAATATCCGCCTCGGTAAATCATTTGCGGAGGCGGACATTTGTAAGACACCCATGTCCATAAATCAGGCTCACCCCGCTAACCATGGCAGCCCATTACTGTCTTCATGTATATATATGCGACCTAGAGTTTTGGACTGTACACCACATGACCTTTCCCTTCACCCACAGCCGTACACCACCTCTCTTCTCTCTTGGCAATTTCCTCTCGAGCACCACCTCCTCCTCCGTCTCTCTCTCTCTCTCTCACCGGTAGCGGCTCACGTAGGGCTCTCTCTCTCTCCCTCACCGGCAGCCTCTCTCTCTCTCCTCTCGCGCAGGGCCTTCTCTAGCAGCCACTCGCGTGGAGGCTTGGCGCACGGGAGCCCCGGCGGAGGAGGGCCACGCGGGATCCCCACGGAGGAGCGGCGCGCAGGAGCCCCGACGGCGGCTCGGCGCACGGGAACCTCGGAGGAGTAGCGCAGGGGACCTGTCTGCAGCGTGGGGCCTCTTGTGGCTGCGTGGGCAAGGTGGCCTCCACCTGGTGAGGGCGGCCCCAATGCGCGGATCAGGTGGTGGTGGGCGGCCCCGACGTGCGGATCCAGTGGACGGTGGCCCCGACATGCAGGCCGGTGGAGGGCAACCCCGACTATGGATCCGGCGGTGGAGGGCGGGCCCGACGTGCGGATCCGGTGGATGGCGGCCCTGACGCATGGATCCGGTGGACGGCGGCCCCAACGAGTGGAGGGTGCCCCCAACGAGCGGCGGCATGCACGCGCGGATCCGGCAGCGACAATGGCAGTGGGCTTGGCGGGCACATCCATGGGCTCACTGTTGTTTTATTTTTTTTAATTGATTTCCACAGACAATTCGATGCAGGCGGACCGTTTGACCACCTCGGAATGACCGCCTCGCAAAAGAATACTATAGTAGGGACGATTCTTTAAGCTTCCGTGAACGGTTCTAGCTTACATGGGAGGGATACCCAATTGGTTTTGAAAAGTGGTTACAAACTCATTGTGATGACCATTTCTCCGGTACTTGTTCACTGACACAATTGCTTAAAGGCATTGTGTTGTGAAATATTATGCCAGCAGTGGTTACCTAAAATTACTATTTGCTGAAACTGTGTTCTTCAGTAGTATGGACGAATTCTAGTTTATTGAATTTCCTATATAATATAGAAACTTAACAATGCAGTAAAAGGTGGTCAAAATTGAGCCAATTAAAGAATTGTTTTGTGAAATGACAATAGTGCAACCTTCATCATTATCATTGAATGATCACATGACCAGATTATATCTTTTTAAGACTTATCCAGTATATATGTGTTGCGATCCTCCTTCTATGGCTATTATGCCATCACTTGTCTTTTTTTCTGGAAAGCCACTTGACACCATTTATAGGACCTCTGGATAGTATACGTCCTACTAACTTTATGAGCAACTGTTTATCAATTTGCAATTGTTTTTCACTGAAACTATACCATTGAAAGTAAATGGTTGTGAGTGCAGTCTTGGCTAGTATTAGCTCATATATCGGGTAGGTGAACGAACATGCGAGACTTGTTAACTACTCCCTCCATTCTAAATTACTAGTTATTTGGCTTCTGTAGATACTTTTTATCATATATCTAGATATAGTGTATATCTAGTATATAGTGCTTATAATTTGGAAGGAAGAGTAGGTAGCGGGTGATATATACATCATTGTACGAGCGGAGGTACACTTATATTGTAGGTAGATGGATATATACCACATTTTCTCATCGAAATCTTTTAATCATGCACCATCGTAGTAGAAACAATAAAATTTATCAGCAATACTAATAAACTTAGTAACAATAAGTTTCATTTATATGAGTACACTCATTTGCCTTTATTAGAATCTATTTAGATCCATTAGCACTAAAAATTAGTAACTAAAATTAGCAGTGGATCCAAACCGACTTACTAATAAACTTCTTAATTATTAGTTATGAGTCTCTAACTATTGGTTCCATTAGAGTTTGGAGTTGCTAATAGGTGCTAATATATGCACCTTCAACTCACTGTCCAACCACATATTAACAGGTGAATCTAAACGGCCTCCTACTAAAAACTAGCTAGCTCAAAAATAGCAGCTATTATCTATTAGCTAGCTAATTTTTAGTGCTAATGATGAATCTAAATATGCCTTAATTGAATCGCGGATCCACATCACAAGAAGCCTTGTGAGTCGATCAGTTAATTTCTAGCTTATGCAGAAGACGTGGATGCGTCTGTGTGGTGGTGGCGTGAGTACGGTATTTTGAATGTGTGTGCAGTGCAGTGTGCTTTTAGTATAAATTCTTAGAAAGAGCATAAACTATTCTTAAATTAGCCTCATTAAAGGGTAATTCCACTTGTTTCGCGAACTAAATCTTCACTGATCAGTTCAAAGTTACAAGACTTTTTTTTTTGTGGCGAACCACCGCAGTGTGGCGTGGCCGGTGGCCCCAAGCGCACTTCATCACCTGAACAGGAAATGGTGCTGTGTAGCTATCAGACTAAGACTAGTCCTTAAAGGTCATTGTTCTCTGCACTACAACCCACTACCGGTGGAGGGAAGTATCACAAGGATCCTTTTTTTGCTTGGCCGGCATCTAGAGATTGGACATGCTGTCCTGATAATGCTACTTTTTACTAGCAAGAGTGCATCATCAGACTGACTTCAATCTGCTATCAAAAAGCTAAGGTAAGATAATCCTCAACAAAGAATAATACTCGCCCCTTTGGCATTATCCACGCACAGGTTCTGAGTTGGAGAACACACAAGATGCCCTCTACATGCCGTAATCCATTGGTTGTTCACAAACGAGTGATGTCCGTGAGCTATGACACATCACCGTCTGTGATATCAGTTGCTAGTGCTGTTTAATTGGACAGGGAAATAACAGAGTGCAATATATATACGGGCCGGCATTTGCTGTATGGATAGTGCTTGTTTGGCCACTCAAATAGCGGAGGACAAAGAGGTAGGTAACTGTTGAGCTTAGTCCCCGCACTCGGCCCCATTCGCGGTTGGTATACTGGTATCAGGTCAACTGACTGCTCGATCCAGATAGCAACAAAGTGAGCCGGCAGACACACAGAAACACCCGCACTATTGTTACATCTTGTGGTCCTCAGGTTCTGTTTTGCCTGAATTTATTTAAACATATTTTTTCGTATCTCACAATTCAAAACCTCCACAAATTGTTGGATTTAATTGGAATAATTGACCAATTTCATTTAGCAATTAAATCAAACGAAAATTTAAGGCTAGGATAAATGCTAGGTGAAA